AGGACGGTCCTTATTAATACTGCCATTTACAGACTCGAAAACAAGCTCAAAGCAGTTAAATTGCTTGCTCATAGTCACAAACTCTGTAGGAGAGGAAATATTCAGCCTGGGTTTGCTGTGATGAAGTTCATGTGTCTCTGCTTCTTTCCCTGTATCTTTCTCCTTCAATACCACCATGGGAAGGCTCAAGGTATGCAGAAACATGAGGCTAAATTGGTGCTCCCATATGCTAGGTGAGAGAATAGAGGATCGAGGGTGCATGAGTGCCAGAGGGCTCTAAAACCTGGCATTTCCTGACCCCAGAGTTCAGGAATAGGGCTGGGAATGTGGGTGAGCAGAATTGAGAGGAAAGGAAATGGCTGTATGGATGAAATCCTTCTTCCTTCTTAGGGAAGCAACTCTAACAGTTGAGGTCAAAAGTGTTAAACAGTGGGCTGGAGAAATGGCTCAGTGGTTAAGAGCACTGACTGCTCTTGCAAAGGACCCGGGTTTGATTCCCAGCACCCACATGGCAGCTATGAACTGTCTTTAACTGAACCTCTGAGGCATTGCACAACACCGGTGCACTCACATACATGCAGGCAATATACTCAGACACATAAAATAAAAAAACCAAATAAGATGTTTTTAAAAAGTGTTAAACGTTTTGCACAAGGGAAAGTGCTGAGATATCATCAGCTCCTAGTAACCATCTGAACGAAATCTGGACTCTGATTCAAGCTGTCTACTGCCGGGTAACGAACTGCCTCAAATCTTAGTGGCTTAAAATACTTGATTTTGGGGCTGAAGAGATGGCTCAGTGATTAAGAACATTAGTTGTTCTTGCAGAAGACCCAGGTTCAAATCCCAGCACCCACATGGCAGCTAACAACTGTCCGTAACTCCAGTTCCAGGGGATCCAACAGCCTCTTCTGTCTTCTGTGGGCATTGCATGACACAGGTGCACTTACTTGCATGCAGGCAATACACGCATACACATAAAAAAATATAATAATAAAAAACTTGGTTTTTCAGATCCTGAGGGTGGGCTGAGTGGCTTTCCTCTGGTCTCACCTGGGCTCTAAGCATGCCCATTAGCTGTTGGTCAGCTGAGCCACAGCATCTGAGATGTTCTCAGCTACATCTGGGACCTGAGAACTCTGTCCTTGTACTGCTAATCCTTCAGAGGTCTAGCCTGAGCTTTTTTTTTTTTAAGTTCAGTTGTCCTCAAACTTGTTATGTAGATGAGGATGACCTTGAATTTATTTATTTTATTTTATTTTATTTTATTTTTTGGTATTTTTGAGACAGGGTCTCCCTGTAGCCCTGTCCTGGAACTATGTAGACCAGGCTGGCCTTGAACTCACAGAGATATGTCTGCTTCTGCCTCCCTGTCCTTGAATTTATGATCCTCCTGCCTCCACTTCTGAGTGCTGGGATTGCAGGTGTGAGCCACCACTCACAAGCGTAGCCCATTAAAAAAAAACAAACCTGCGTTTCATTAAGATTTTTTGGTTTATATATTTTTATTTTTTGGTCTTTTTTTTTTGGAGACAGGGTCTCCCTGTAGCCCCAGCTGGCCTGGAACTCACTATGTTGACCAGGCTGGCCTCAAACTCACAGAGCCTCCCTCTGCCTCCTGAGTGCTGGGATTAAAGTCATGCACCACCATGCCCAGCCATTTGGTTTTTATTTTTGAGTGTTTTGCCTGTATGTATGTAAGTGCATCAGTGTTGTGCAGTGCCCACAGAAGCAAGAGGAGGACATCAGATCCCCTGGAAGTAGAATTATGGATGGTTGTGAGCCACTATGTGGGTGCTGGAAACTGACCTGGGTTCTCTGCAGGAACACGAAGTGCTCTTAACCACTGAGTCATCTATCCAGCACCACCTCTCCCCTCTTTTTGAGACAGGGTCTCCCCGTAGCCCTAGCTGGCCTCAAACTTGTTATGTAGACTAGGTTGGCCTTGATCTGCCTCTGCCTCTTGAGTGCTGGGATCAAAGGTGTGTGCAACCAAGCCTGGCTTCACTACTATTTTTAATCATGTACATATGTATGTGTTTGTCTATGTGTGGGTATGTACACTTGAGTGCAGTGCCAGTGGAGCTCAGAGGGTGTTGGATCTCCTGGAGCTGGAGTTACAGGCCATTGTGAGCCACCCAATGTGGGTGTTGGGCACTGAACTCTGGTCCTTGGCAAGAACAGTACTCATTATTAACTGCTAAGCCATATCTCCAGTCCAGCCTGGTTTTGTTTCCTTTTACCTGTGTGCATGTGGCATGGGTACACATACATTATGAACATATGCATGTGGAGGCTTGAGGCTGATGTGAGGAATCACTCTCTCTTCCACCTTATTCACTGAGGCAGAATCTGTCAATATGAACCTAGAGCTGGCCAATGCTGGTCTTGCTAGCCAGCTTGCTCTGTGGATTCTATTGCCACCTTCCGAGGCTGGAATTATATGGTGGGCTGCCACACTCAACCAGCATCTATGTGGGTTCTCGGGATTCAAACTGAAGTTCTTGAGCTGGCTGGGCAAGCATTTATTTTTTATGAAAAAAATATTTTATTTATTTTTATTTTATGTGTATTGCCTGCATGTAGGTAAGTGCATCTGTGTTGTGCAGTGCCCGCAGAGGTCAGAAGAGGGCATCAGATCCCCTGGAACTGAAGTTAAGAATGGTTGTTAGCTGCCATGTGGGTGCTAGGAACTAGACTCGGGTCCTCTGCAAGAGCAGCCAGGGTTCTTAACTGTTGAGTCATTTCTTCAGCTCCTTTTAAAATGATTTTTAAAAATGATTAGTTTTATTTTTATTTTACGTGTATGAGTATTTTGCTGGGTATTGGGTCCCCAGGAACTAGAGTTAACAGACAGCTATGAGTTGTGTGGGTGCTGGGAACTGAACCTGGGTGCTCTACAAAAACAGCAAGTGCTCTTAACCACTGAGCCATCTCCCCAGGCTCTAAGCAAGCATTCTAACCACTGAGCCATCTCCCCAGACCAATCTGTACTGATTTGGCAGTCATTTTCCAGGGAAATAAAGGCAGAAGCTGCCAGATGACTTAACACACAGGCCTCAGAATGTGCACATCACATGTACAACATTCTATTGGTCAAGACCAACCCAGTGAGAATAGAAAACGGACACACTGCGAACTTGATGGGGGGAGTAAGAACACACTATAGGCATTAGGAGGCTTCTCATCCTAAGCCAGAATAACTTACCTTGGAGACACTGAAAAGATGGCTCATGAAGGGCTAGGAAGGTAGTTTAGTGGTAGGCAATTGCCTAGAGTATGTGTGACCTTGGGTTTGATCCCCAGCAACCAATCCCTGCCCCCCAAAAAGGAGGTCTATGGTTGAATTGCAAAAAAGTAGTTGTACCACCCACTGTGATGTGGCCTCAGGTTATGGGCTCCGGTGAGAAGGGACTCCAAGGTGCCTGGATATAGAATTGCCTCCACTGCCGGACATTGGGATGAACAAGGCCAGTCTGTGCAAAGAGCCTTGGAGTTTGCATGTAGTCAGAGACAGAAACTGTAAGACTTGAGATATTGGAAAATCCCGTTAACCTGATTTTGTATAAAACTGGATTGAAGCTGCTGCTGCTGCTGTTGCTACTGCTGCAAAGGGACTGAATGAAAATTGGGCTTACTTGCTGCTTTAAAACAGGACTTTCCAACTCTAGGCAGGACTCATTAGTGAATCTTAAAATTAATTTAGTGGCTCATGAACTACATTTTAACAATACAGCCAGGGGCTGGAGAAGATAGCTCACTCTGTAATGTGCTTGCCTTGCAAGTATAAGAAGCAGAGTTCCAGCTGAGAACCCACATAAAAATGCCAGGTGTGGTGGCACTTGATTGGAATCTCACGGCTGGGGAGGTAGAGACAGGAGGAACCCAGGGGCTTACTGGTCAGCCAGTCTAGCCTAACTGGTAAGCTCCAGGTTCAGTAAGAGCCCCTGTCCCCAAGGAAGTGGACAGAGTTCCTGAGGATGTTACCTGAGCCTATCTTCTGGCTTACACACACAGACACACACACACATAGACACACACATACACACACACCCACACATGCATGAATAAGTGAGTAAATAAATAAAGCTGGGTCTCGTGGCACATGCCAATAATCCCAGAACTCCAGGAGGGTTATGAGTTCAAGGCCAACCTTGGCTATATACTGAGTTCTTGGCCAGCCAGAGCTACATAGCAAGACTTTGTGTCAAATATTTATGTCAAATAAATGAATGAATGGATAAATAAAAGTACAGCATATACAGCTATCTTTCTTGATTTTTATTCATTTATATAAGTAAACATACACATGTGTATTAGATAGAAAAATATTAGTAAATATATTTCTTACTAAAGTCATGGTCAAAGTTTGAAAGCCACTGACAGAGTGTGTAATGGGGTGGAGGTATCTACAGTGTGTACCAAGAAGAAAAATGCGTTGCCAGGCGTGGTGGTACACACCTATAATAGTAGCACTTGGGAGGTGGAAACAGGAAGATCAGAAGTTCAAGGTCACGCTTAGCTATGTAGAGAATTCTAGGCCAGCCTGTCTCAAAAACAACAAACAAATATACAAACAAACCCGGTGTGTTAACATCTGCTTCTAGTCAGAGATAGAAAATAGAGACTAAGAAATGGCAATTCTGTGATTTATCCATTTTGTTGCAGTCTAAAAGGTTTCAAACAAAGGGAAATGTGAACAATAAGGTTTCCTTCCTATACACTAAACTAATTGGAACCCTGTAGAATGAACAAAGCAGGCTGGATGTGAGCTGGAAAGGCTTGTGTCAGAAGTGAGCTTATCATTCAGTTGGCACAGTCCCATCTCCAGGTCAAGCTGCAGGTTGTAAGGGACCACATCACCTGACACTGCATTACATAATCTAAATTTTTTAATCTTTTTTTTCCTTTTTTTTTTTTTTTTTCAGTACTGGGACTTCACTTATGCTAGGTAAATAACCACAAGCAACATCCTTAGCTCTCTTTTTGCTTTTTAAGACAGGGCCTGTGTTTCCCAGGTTGGCTTTGAATTTGTGATCCTCCTGCCTCGGCCTCCCAAGAGGCTGGAATTACAACCCTGCACTTGTTTCTCGTTGGGTTTCCTCTGGGAAGCATGTAGGGCCTCCTCTGCCCTGCTCAGGCTGAATCTCCAGGCACTACATTGGCATTAGGAATCAATAAACTTGTACGGAATGACTGGATGAAGGGCTAAATGGGGCAGGGCAAGGAGCGGAACCTCATTCATTTACAGTATCTCCAGGCACTGCCATTCACTGACTACACTTTGTAAGCTGTTTGCACCTGTGTTTATTTTTCTTCTCAGTGGATAGGAACCCAATCCTGATCCTTCCCCCAAATACTCTTCTCAGATATTTTCAGATTTCTGCTCAGCTGGTCAGAGCAGTATCATCCAAAGCCAAGGAGCGTGGGGCCAGCAGCATTGCAGAGACCAGCATCAGGCCAGCAGCTTGGACCAATACTATTCAGCTAGGCCTGGTAGTGCAGGCCTGTAATCTCAGCTACTCTGGAGGCTAGGATGGGAGGATCTGCAAGTTCAAGACCTGCCTGGTTCATAGTGAGTTCAAGGCCAGCCAGGGCAACTTAGTGAGACCTTGTACAGAACTTACCTAACATGCAAGAGCCCTACGTTCAATCCCCAGGACTGGTAGGAAAAAAAAGACAGACAAGAAAATATATTATTCAGGTAGGGTTTGGGGCTTGGGGTGCCTACCAACAGCACGAAGGACACAAACCAACAATACAGATATGGCTTGTAGGACTGTTTAACATAAAATGGCAATTCATTAAGCAAGGGGACCTCAAAATGTCAAATGAATGTAAGGAAGAAATGAAGAAAGACACATAAGGAATATGGCTACTTTTTCTTCTTTTTTACTTTGAACATTAGCATGAAGTTGGTTACCGTACACATCCAAAGGCCCAGCATGTCAGAAAAAAAACTAGTAAACGGCACACCTTGTACCAGAGTCTCAACAAGAATAAAATACACAATGCTACATTGAGTGGTTAAAAATACACAAAAAAGTAGTTTTAACAATCTATCAATTTTTTATACTTAAAGTCATGATTGAGTCGAAATAAAAAAGTGCATTTCAATAGCTAAAAAAATAATATTGGTATAGTTAACACAAGGAGGAAAATCAATACATCAAGGCGTATCTGACAGGATACTAGATAAAAGATGACTGGGAGAAGCCAGGCAGCTGGGCCAGTTCAGAGTCTACCTCAGCTCCGTCCCTCATGCAGCTCCCTGGGCCAAGCAGCACCCCCTCTTCCCATCCTTCCCCTCTCAAGAGATCCTGTTCTATCTGTCACCTCCCCAACTGAAGGACTCCTCTAAACAGATCCCTCCCCACCTTCCCACTGAGTCCCAACTTGACCTTCAATTGTGTCTCCACAGAGGTAGGAAAGACGCTGCGCCATTCTATACTTGATATAGCCTTAATCCTTTTGACCCTGCAGGCAGAACAGGGACTGAGCAGCTTCTATTCTGTCAAGCTCCTTTGGACAAATCTTCAACATTCAACAACAGGCTTTGTAAACCTAACACTAAACAATTCCTGGCAAGCAAACTGGATTTTGTTTTAAGAAATTAGAAAAAGTGCACGTGATCTCAGTACTGTTGGGAAAACAAAAATAAAAGCAAACAAGTTGCACCTGCCACCTGCCGCCTAAAGGACTCACAGTTTTAGTCTTGTTTTTGTCAAGTGTTGGAGTTACGGAGACCCCACTCTGTATGTCTGGTATTGCTCGGGTTAGGGGTCAGAATCGGCTGGGGCAAAGGGGACCAGGCAAAAATCAGTGAGGAAGGCCCTTCCACAGGTAAAAGCTTCCCACTACAGGGTGCATGCTATCGGGTTGGTGTTCCCCCTACTTGATACCCAATTGCTCACTGTGAAGACGCTGCAGTGAGCACACACAAACCTCCGGGTCAAAACTGATGAGGGTCAGGGCTCAAAGACAAGGAACGGCAGGAGTTCTGGACCAGAATTCTAGTCTGGAGGACAGCTACTATAGGGACCTCCCCATCCGGACCTGGGGGACCTGCTCACGGGTGTAACAGATGCCTACTTGGAGCAGACGAGGGGAAGCCATGTGCTCACACACATTGCAGAGGTCCCCACTGCTGCTGCGAATGGAGTTGAAGCAAGGAAATGGGGAGGAGGGCCACTTTTCAGCTTTGCATTTAGGATACAAAAGATCTCTCATGGTAGGGTCCTAGCTTTCAATCTCATATCACCAGTATTAACAAAGGTTAGTTGATTATGCTACTTGACCCCAAGGATCTCAGACCCAGGGATCCATTTCTGCTTGTATCATGAGGCCTGAACAACTAGTGAACTTAGTAACAGGCCAAAATGCCTTAGATAATCAAGCAATGAACCAATTGATGTTTCAGGAGAGGCTTAGAGCTGAGAAGAAAGCACTTTATTGCCCCCTTGTGGTCAGAGCCAGTACTGCAGATGGAACAGACTGGGCCTCACTAAAAGAAATGAATAAAATGTGTATTTCAATTTGCAAAACATAGAGAATGACCTGATTTTCTGAGGCCATGCATACATCCTTGGACATACAACTTGAGAAGTAAACACAAAAATTATGCCATACTGCTTCTTTCTTTTCAACTTTACTGAAGTGAATAACCAAGCACTTTCAAATGCAGTGAAACAGTCTCAAATCCTTTGTAAGATGTGAGTTGGACTCTGCTTCTGGCTACATGGCCCCCTTTCACCTGTAAGGCAGACAGGAAGAAGCTGTGTTCGCTCATGGGAGCCAGAGATGCAGAAACAACCTGATTCCTTGGCATACAGACACAGGCTCTTTATTTGGTCACAACTAGCTAACACAAGCATCAGACATCCTTCTGACAATAAGCAAAATGTAGCTTCTATCCTTTCTTGCCTGTCTCCATTCCCTACACATCCTACAAAATCGTTTTCAAGTAATCTGTCACATCCCTGATCTTGCCAGAGAAGTTCAAATAGTATGAAATAACCTGCAGTTAAGAAGCGACAGGGACACTTCTTAGGGGCAAAAACTGCCTCTGGTACCTGCACCAAAGGTTTCCTAATGAAGACACACACAAGCAGCAGTCCTCTCAGAGGCTGTAGCTCCTCCAAATGATAGGCAAGTACAGCTTTGTGCTGTTTGACTGCCTGTGACTCTGGAGAGAAAAGCAATCAATTTTCCAAGGAGATGCTTTAGGCATCCAGTTGTACTCAAGACGTGAATGTCTAGGTCGGTGATGGGCAACAGCAGGGCAAACAAATGTGGAAAGTGTTTAAATCAAGTCTCTTGTTACTGATTTCTATGGTATAGAAAACTACCCCTTACATTTTGTAAACTAGTTCTCCCACTCCAAATAGCAAGTGAAACATTCAAATGCCTTGAATTTATGTATTATGAAGCATAACCAATTCTTACAATTTTGTACTGTCCCACCAACTGACAACCTGTCTGTGGCCATACAAAAAGGATTGCAAATTTATTAACAGCTGCAGTTTTAGACTCCTGCCTCATGTGGTTATATTAGTCTTGAAAACCTGAGTACTAATAACTTTAAGAGGCAAGAGATTTTAAGTCAGAAAGCAAAGATTTTTGACTAAGGCCAAAATATTCATTAGCGTTCATTCACCTACAAAAAGAAAAACAAACAAAAAAAAAAAAAACCCAAAACAAAACCCCCCAGAATCCTGTCTCCTCATTTTAAAGAGTTCATCTGTTTTTGCTTTAGGGGGGAACAATCAACCTGTTGCACAGCACAGACTTTAGTTTGGGATGTGAAAGATAGCCAACTTCTAAAATAAGTTTTATCACTGAGGGGCACATACCACACACAGAACACACTTCAACTTCCTTTTTATTACATCCTTCATATATTATGCATCAATCATACTCTTAAAACAATATATATGAGGAACACTAGAAAAGAAAGTAAACAGAGGTTTTGGAGGGACACAAAGATGGATGAGACAGATTAAAAATAAATCAATAAAGGACTTCTGTTAAACCCAGAGAGCACTTTTAAATTTGTAGGACTAAAATAAAATCATGAGAACAACCCTGCAAAATGTTTATGGAAGAGAGAGAGCATGTAGCAACAGCAGCATTCAGGATTCCTTTAATCAGGAAAGGCAGGTTCAGGAAGACTTCGGATGAGAAAAAGATGACCCAAAGAGACAACAGCTGGCCTTGACTTGTAAAGGAATACCAAAATGCTAGTAAAAGAAGAGAAAGTGGAGAGCAAACAAGGATGGCATCTCTTGACTCTAGACAGAAATAAAAGCTAAGAATGTAACCCAACAAGGACGCAGAGGAACAAAACACACTCAGAATTCTCATCCGGGGTTTTAACCAGTTTGTAGTTAAGTCCTTTGGATAAGGGTGAATTCCAATACTCACAGAGAAAGAAACAATCAGAGGTAGGAGTCAGACCAGGGAAAGAATGTTCCAGACACTGGCTTTTTGAAGGCACTCAAGAGCAGAGTGAGAGAGACTGAAGCCGCAGTCCAACAGCAGAGGATCAGGTGGGTAACTACTCACTTATCTGTCCTAAAGAAACAGCAACAATTCACAACAGTCACTACACATGCATCAACCAGGAATATCCATAACAGTGTGGAAATAACTGTGTGGAAAGAAACCCACTTGATAAGTGACTTCTTATAACAGCATAGGTTCTCCTTAGGGAACAAGGAAAAAAAGTTTGTTTTCAGGATACGTAATTATGCAAAGTAGCTTTGATGTAAATATATAATTTGATGAATGGTATGGTATCTGTTCTTTAAAACAAATTTACTGAAGCTAAAGCTTCAAAGTTTGGACAATTAAGGAGTTTTTCTTTGAAGTCTTTCAAAACCTATCCTCTAAAATGAAAAGATCGGATCATAAAGTCAAAAGTCTAGAGAGTATAAAAGTATAGAACTGTAAAGGTGGATCTATTGATGACGTTTATGGCTTCCATAGTGTAGAGAGGATCTCTGGTTTGCTTCATCGAGGTAGTGTCCAGGGTTGGAAGGTCAACATTATTTCTCATGATGCTACAGATAACAAAAGCAGATTACTTAGGGTGTTGTTATTGCATAACATTGCCACTATTTCTAATGGCTTATGACCTTTCATTCCTGAAAAAAAGAAAATAGAGAGCGAGAACTTTTGGGAAATTTCCTATCTTGATTTAAGAAAAAAGAAAATTAAAACCCAATAATTACTTGCTCAGCTTTATAGTCTGAAGGATTCCAGGTGAGCTAATTCTTTTTAAAAGCTGACAAAATAGTTAAATGCCAACATTTCCCCTCTTTCAGAAGTACTCCCCATACAGTCTGGAACAACATCAAAATAGTCATTATATGGATCATTAAAGCAATAAAAACTGTATTTTTCATACAGTAGCTCAAACAGAAGTGTTTAATTGTAGTTTTAAATTTTCTTTCTTTAAAAAAAACACAAAGACCCACCCACCATAGTGCATTTTACTAACCAAAATCTGCAAAATGAAATATATCCATATATCATGTGTGTGTGTGTGTGTGTGTGTGTGTGTGTGTGTGTGTGTGTGTGTGTGTGTGTATCTGCAATGGAGCTCTATCCTTCCTTTAGAGTCTCAAAATTTAAATCTTCCAGCAAAATTAAGATGAAACTAAATATATATATCCATTCAACAATAATAAAAACGGGAAAAAAAAATTCAAGAAGTAAAAATTCAAAGTTTCAGAGTGTTTGGCATCTGGTTAGCACTTGCAACAGGAAATCACATCAGGAAGGTTCCAGCCATCTCAAAGATACTTCCAACAAATACAATTTTTAAAAAGCCAGTTGGGCTGGAGAGCTGGCACAGCCATTAAAGGCTAGGGCTAACACCCGAAACATCGGAAAGTGTGGAACTGTGGAAAACTCACTCAGAACAGTTACTATGAAAGCACATGAGGATAATTTTCAAAAGTTTCTTCAAAGTTCATTAAAGTTTTATGTGTAGACTTCTTTACTTACTAAAAATCAGAATCAAGTGGAAAAAAAACCACATAAAAATGAAGCCACATGCCTTTAAATGGTTCATCTTTTATTCTCCTCAAAATTTAAAAATTGAACCCAGTATGAGCCTACCTGACTCAGTCTGGGAGAGCAGCAGCCTTTCACAAGGCTAAAGAGCAGTTTATATTCAAATGATAACCCCGTGAGAACAGATGTACAAACAAACCTCCAAAAATGGAATGCCAACTCAAAAAATTCCTTATGGAAGCTGAGCATAGTGGAGCAGTGCCCATAATCCCAGTACTTGGGAGGCTGAGGTGTGAGTATGGGGAGGACATGGGTTCGAGACCAGCCTCAACTACTTAGGGAATTCAAGGCCTGCCTGGGTATTTAGTGAGACCCTTTCTCAACAAACAACCACAAAAAGTCCTTGGGGGAATTCTCCTCAAATAAGTGATCCTTACAGTGATACAAGCCTTTGAAGACAGTAATGAGAAACATACTCAATTTGTTATCTATGTAATTCTGAAATGTGGCCTGTGTCTTTACAAAACACAAGTACAGATAAAGGCTGAGAACTCAGACTCTTCCATAGGTCTTTTTTCCTAAACAGGTAAGTAGGTAACAGATTTTGCAGAACTCCTGGGGTACTACTGCAGCATATGTGGATAGAACATACCACATTAATGAAACTTTTATCTTAGCAGCAGATCCCAAGCACATTTTCAACCCTGAGTTTGAGTCTTCAGCAAGTTAAACCTGGTGCAGGTACATGTTTAAGGCTTAATCCTACGGTTCCTATATTCAGAAGCATTACTGGTATGACTGTATTTCATTATTCATATATGACACTGATGAGGAATTATTTTTAGAGCAGTTTTCCTGAAGACTACACATCCCAGGTCAAGGAAGTTTATACTTATCCAGGAAAAAAATAATTGGCATTTCTAGACTGTTCCACAATACAATTCAATAAGAATTATTCTGTGACAATTCTTACTCATTTTTAAATCCTTATTTTTTTTCTTCTGTTAAGGATAGTGATGGTTATTACTTACTTCACTTACTACTGGTTTTCCTATGTAGCAGATATTTTCTTATGGCTATAGCTATCTGAATAAAAAAAAAAATCAAAGATAAGTACCTGAATTTCCCAGTGTGTAATCATGATAGAAACATAAAATGGGTGACTCAACGGCTTCAAGTCTAGAATTCAGAATCTCTGCCCAATATGGTAAATTTATTTAATACAAAGTAAGGTATAACCAATAAACTAAACTATCATTTATAACTTTTGAGAAAATATTTTAATATTACAGGCTTGACCATGAAATAATGATAGGTCTTCATAAAAGCGTGGATTTACATGGGATACAAAGGAGATTGTGGAGGTAACAGGAGAAAGCCTCCAATGTTTTAACAGCCAGAAGCAAAGGAATTGAACTTCCTTATTGGCTTGCGTATGTGGGGGCTCAAAGAATGTATTCAATAGTAAAAATACCATTCATTAAAACATACAACCAGAATCTGGTAAAGAAAAGTATGTCCTGAGATACTTTTCCGTCTGGTACAAAATTTTCCTATGCATTACAGAAGACAAAGGCAAAACTGGAGAAAATCTAGAAATACTAAACCAAAAACTGATATAGAGTGTTGCTTAAAAATAGGAGCCTAACCTCAACAAGAGTTCCGCTTTTCCCTGCTACAGAGCTAACTGGCCAGAAAAAAGTGCTTGACGCATATCTGCACATTTAATATTAAAAATAAAAAATAAATAAAAGCCAAGGTTCTGATTCAGGCAATGATTTAAGAGCCCGAGGAAAGAGAAATAAAAGAATTCTGAGACTAAAAACAGAGTGATGTAGGAAGGTAAGTGACCCACTCTTGGAACTCAGCTCTATGAGATGAAAAAGTATAACATTTGTAGCTCTACAGTCTGGATAAATCTGGTCAGCTAAATGGAACCAACATGTTAGCCCTTCTCTTTAGCCTTCTGTATAATCAGCTTCTGTATAATTAATAAATTTAAAACTTGGGGGCTTCCTCTCACTACAATTTAAATAGTTTATATACCCTGGTTGTGGGCATACCTATATAATTAAGCATCACAGACATTTTAAAACTTATAATTCGTCCTCCCAGCCAAGCTTCTCAGTTATATTAGCATCATGTTTGTGATTTCGGTTTACCGTTTTAGTTTCTCCTATCAATTCTAGGAAAATAGAGCACCCTCAAGAGATTCCAATTTGTGTTCCCCTAACAGTTGAACATGAACACAGTTCAGAAGGGAAGTGAGAAACAAATGTGACAAGGAGGAAGCAATCTTTGCTTCTTGCTTCTGAAGGTACACACAACGTTCCTCAGATTCTCCAACACACAAGCTTTCTGTGACCACCCCACAAAAGGACTGTACTCCAGTACAACACCCCACCCCACTGAATGCACAAAGAATAGGAAGGGCAGCAGCATGTCAGCGAGCCTGACAGACATCTGAGTGCCGAGCACAGATTTTCAAATTACTGAGTACTTACGAACCTTGCTTTCCCAGTAACCTTGACTGGCGACCCTCTCAGATACATCTAATCGCTGAAGCACCTTTGAGTTGTACGGATGTAAGAATAAATTTGAAATAGAAGTTATTATATGCATCTTTAAGAATCACATTTTGATGATTATAAAAATTTTTCTATTTTACAACATGGTTTAGCTACACTGAAAAAATTACACCGCTTATTGAAATACATTTCATTTTAGAAACAGACTACTAAAGAAGTCTATACAAAAACTCTAAAATAATTTCTGTAGTAAAATAAAGAGTGCGTTAAAAGAGCTACACAAAGAAGAGAATTTCCATCTTCTCTATAATGCTTGATATTCTGTGAAACATGGCCCAGCTCAACTCTACAGCCAGCACCAAAAGCTTAAAAGAATTCATTACAATACACAGTGATACAATTAATGCTCTGGGTTAATCTCACAGCCTTCCCGATTAGTACAAAGGAAACCAGGCCTGTCTCCTCTTTGAGGAGACGTCCAGGATATAAAAGCAAGCATACCTCATCCACTGATATGAAATTATAAAACCCCACAAGTCTGAGTATTTGAAATTTATAAAAGTCATCAGAAAATGCAAACAAATTGGGCTTTAGTTGGGTGGTTCCCCCGATGAGAGGGCAGTCCCAGTCGGCTCAAGGGTGTCCTGTTCACTCCCTTGGGTCAGTCTGATGGTCCATCCAGACAATGGCGAAGGCCCTGCAGGAGGTTGTGCCCCAGAGGGGCACAGTGGATCCCCTTCTGCCAACTCACCATGGGGATAAGACTCCAGCTGGTGCTAATGATGCTGGGCTTGGGCCGTGCTGTTCTTCTCTGCCAGGTGCCGCAGAAAGGAGTCCTCACTCTGGCTTCTGTGGTTTAAGGGCTCACTCTTGAAGAGGGCTGGAGGCGGGGGTAGGTGAGGCACCGGCGGGATGGGGAGGTGGTGCGCATGGTGCGGGTGCGTGTGGATGTGCAGGTGAGAGAAGGGGTGCGGAACAGGCCGTGGGGGAAGCGCACCGCCTGCCGGGTTCATACTGACCGCTGAGGCCGGGCTGGCGGCTGTGTTGGGCACCGCAGGAGCAGGCGCGGCTGGGGCGGAGGAGAGGGGCATCTGGACGGCTGGGGGCGGGGGCACGTTCACTGGGCTGGTCACCCGGAAGCATTTCTCCTTGTGGGCCTTGAGCATGTTGGAGAAGCGGAACCTCTGGCCGCACACGTCACAGGGGTAGGGCTTCTCGCCTGTGTGAGTTCTGCGGTGCCTCTTCATGTTGGGGCGGCTGGTGAAGCTTTTGCCACAGATTTCACAGATAAAGGGCTTCTCTCCTGCGATAGGCACAGACAAACATGGCTGATGTGCAGGTGTAAAGATGTTCCTGCCACTCCACATGCTCTCCCCATCGCACTGCATAATTCTAATGCCACAGAAGAGTCCCCCAAACTGGGACTTAACAAACCACAAGCAGACACAAATACAACTTACAGCCTTCTATGATGGCAGGGGAAGTAGAAGAGGGTGGGGCAGAGGGGGGCAGAAGATGAGGGAGGAAGAGAACAGGTCATGGCCTAGCCCTGTCATGTCTAAGTTAACTCCTGCTGTGAGAATCCATGGTCATTTCAACTAGGGCTCCCTTTCCATGCAGTGGGCAAGCTCCTACTCTGGATTAGGCCTTACTGGGCACCAGGCTCTAATCACTTTGCATCTGGTAGTCTCCACCTCACAGCAACAGTATGAAGCTAGTAAGTTTAAGAGACTTGACCAAGGTTATATGCTAGGAAGGGTCAAAGTTGGGAACTCTAAAGTCTAGCTCTAGAGTCTGTGCTGCTAACAGAAACCACCACACCTCACACCCTGGGTGCTTTTCTGCATACATGAAGGAATGTATTATTTTTTTTCATAACTGAATCAAAGATGTCTTCACTGGCAGGTTGGTCCAATTTCTTCTTTTTCATTCTAGTAGAAAGTTGAATCTCCTATTGCCCTCTTCCACTGAGGCTTCTTAGAACCCTGACCTACTTCCTGAGAGATGGGACTGAGTCAGGATGGGTCCCCTCCCTGCCAGCAGGTACCATCTCATTACATGTCTGCTTTCCATGATGCACTCCTCACTGCAGGCCCTTTACCATGACTCATGCTCATCCTTCTGGATGAATTTTGCTTTTGCTTTTACTTTTTGATCCATATTCTCCCCCGACCCCCAATTGTTTTTTGTTTTGTTTTGTTTTTGTTTTCAGACAGGGTTTCACCTGCAGCTAAGGCTGGTTTGAAACTGAAGCTCTCTTGCCTTAGCCTCTAGAGTACTGAGATTACAGGTGTGACTCAAACCCCCTGGGACCACCAATCATTTTCCTCCCTTTTGAGACTGGGTCTCATGTATCCCAGAGGCTCATCTCAAATATCCTATGTAGCCAAGGATGTCTTTGAACTTCTGATCTTCCTGCCTCTACCGCCCAAGTGCTGGCATTACAGGTTTGTGTTACCATGCCCAGTTTTCCCCCAAACATCTTTTTTTTTCTTTCCCCCCTAAACATCTTTAAAACTTCAAATACAAGCCAGTGAGATGGCTAAGTGGGTAAAAACACTTGCTGTCAAGTCTGACAACCTGCTGAGTTTGATCCCCACAATCCACATAGTAGAAAAGAACTGCCTTTCAAAAGTTGGTCCCAACCTCCACCTATGTGTCATCTCACGAGTGTGTACTCCTCCAACAATACAAATGTAATTATAAAAAAAAAATCTATATCCAGCTGATAGAAAATGCTATTAGAAACAATTTACCAAGTATAGAAATATAATTATTAATATGAAATCTATATTAAAAATCTAAAATATATTAGTACAGTAAAACAAGCAAGTTATGAAAATATATGTACACTAGTATCTACCTTAAAGTAAAATATGCATAGAAAAGAAATGGAAAGAAATACATTAATTGTTGACAATGATTGCCTCTAGGTAATGAGATTATGGGTAATGTTATTTTTAAAGCTTGTATTTCTGTTTTGCTGAAATAAAACATGACTTACTTATTTAATAAAATGTATTTGTTTGGTTTTTTTCAGATAGGGTCTTCCTCCCTGATTAGTCTAGTAATCACTATGGCATCTGGGCTAGGCTCAAATTCATGGTAATCCTCCTGTCTTAACTTCCTGAGCCTAGGATACAGGACTGGACTACAAAAAAGTGTGGATTTTTTAAAAAATATATTTTACTATTTTTATTTTATGTGTGTGAGTATATTGCCTGCATGTGTGTAATGCCCACAGAGGTCAGAAGAGGGCATTGGAGTACCTGGAAATGGAATTACAGATGGCTGTTAACCACCATGTGGGTGCTGGGAACCAAACCCACGCCCTCTGCAAGACCAACCAGTGCTCTTAACCGTTGAGCCATCTTCTCCAGCCCCCAAATTTCTGGTTTTTTGGGGGGTGGTATTTTTTGAGACAGGGTCTCCCTGTAGCTCCAGCTGACCTGGAACTCACTATGTAGACAGGCTGTCCTCGAACTCACAGAGATCTGCCTGGTTCTGCTGAGATTAAAGGTATATGCCACCACGCCTGGCTCAAAAAAATGTTTTAAAAATATACCTATTTGATATCCTATTATACCCCTAGAAGATGGTCCTTGACTCTTCAAAGTTTGCAACAGCCATGCAGAAACAGAGCCAAAGGATTTAATCTTCTTACTAGTCTAGCCCGAGCAAACGCCTGATATACTGATAACTTTCTAGACACAAACAGCACATATTCACTGAATTTTTACTGAATAAACAAATATTTCCCTTTCCTATCTCTTTAATCATCTCAATTTACAGCCTCCTGGGCTATATGAGACTCACCATAGAAATCCCCAAAGCAAGTAGAAATGACTATAAATCCATGATTCAAATTACAATTGATATCTTTTATTTACTTGTTTTGGTTTCTTTTTGGGTCAGGGTCTCCCTGTAGCCCCAGCTGGCCTAGGAACTTGCCATAATACAGACCAGGCTAGCCTTGATCTCAGACAGTCACAGCTGGCCTGAAACTCATTATTTAGACCAGGCTGGCCTTGATCCACCTGCCTCAGACTGGGATTAAAGGTGAGTACCATCACACCCAGCCTATCCTTAATATATTATCAAAATTTTTCACATTTTTGTTCTATGGCTTTACTTGGCATAAACCCATTACCCCACCTAACTCTGACTCATTATTTATTTGGCCTTACTGCCTAATTGTGCTTAAGGGTTGATGTTAAGGTTCCTCTGAAACCTAAGGTAATATAAAATGTAACAGAGTAACAGCTAAATTCACCAAGGTAACTAGAAAAGCAAGGATATTACTACATCTGGAGCTCTATCTGGTAGATAAAGCTGACTAAACTGTAAGAAACAGTACTGTAAGTAGCCTAAAAAGGGGGTACTATAAATAAAAACGGAGTCTGCAAGAAAGACGCAGGAGAACAAGAATTTGGCTACTTGTCTTTTGCACTGTGCAAAGAGAAGAGTCATCTGGCCCACAAACCCAAATATTCCAGTCTACTCAGCATCGATCTCCTTGGGTGGCATTAGAAATCTACCCATTTATCCTTTAAAAAATATTTATTATTTTTTTTTTATGTGTATGAGTGTACTGCCTGCATGTATGTAAGTGCACCCGTGATGTGCAATGCCCGGGAGGACAGAAGATGCCACTGGATCCCCTGGAACTGGAGTTATGGACAGTTGTTAGCTGCCATGTGGGTGCTGGGATTCAAACCCGGGTCTTCTGCAAGAACAACCAGTGTTCTTAACTGCTGAGCCATCTCTTTAGCCCCCAAATCCACCCATCTATCTTACGTAAATCTTTCTTTTTTTGAATTCACTTTTTTATTGAGCTTTTGCAACTTCATACAACAGTTCTCAGTCAAATTCAGATCCCCTCACCCATTCATGCCTTCCCCCCGCCACCAAGCCTCATGTATTCTGCTGTACAAGCTAAGCCCTATACATTCAGGCGTTTGTATGCAAGTGTCCAGAGTCAGCCCATCTAGTGATCCTATGTATGTAAGTCATACTCTCCCTCACACAGCAGCAATCAGTCTCGAATAGTTCTCTAGTGTCAGCCTGCCACCCATTTCTCTCTTCACATCTGGACCCCTGCTCAACTGAGTTGACATGGGCCCCGTGCTCAACACCACCACTGCCACAAGTTCACATGTGCAAGCTTCCAGGGGTAAATCTTTCTTGAGCTTTAAACCATTACTGGGTATCTTTTACTTCAATGTCCCAAAGGATCCCAAAATAACAAGAGTTAAATTCACTATCCTATCTAGCAAGCCTGCTCCAACCACCACTATTCTCTATCTCATAAATGGTATGAAGCCTCATATCTGAGAATAACCCTTGATCTACCTGACTGGTTTTATCATCTCTGCTCCTGCTCACCTCTTTCCATATGAACTCTCAAAAGACTATCATACACGGTTTACTGTCCTTAAAGTCCACGGCTTAGGGGGATTCCTATGATCTAGCCTCTGCTCACTGCTCTTCAGTATCATGTCTTACCATCTGCCATTTCTTGGCCCCCTTGCATATCCATGACACTCTGAATTCCAGACTCACTATGCTTTTAGCACCAAACTGCTCCTAAGCCTTGCTAGTCTATCCTCCAAGCCTGAGCATAAACTCTGTGACCTAAGGGCTACTCAATCATGCTCACCACAGCAGCCTTATTTAGTAGGCTGTTTTGTTTTGTCTTAGACAGGGTCTTACTATGTAGCCCTGGCCTGACCTGGAACTCACTATGTAGACCAGGCTGGCCTTGAACTGGCACACAGCAGCCTGCCTCTGCCTCCCAAGTGCTGTTATTAAGGCATGTGTCACCATGTCCAGCCGAGTGGGCTTGAAAAAAAATTTAAATTGACTACCTTATTTATTGTGTGTGTGCGTGCGTGTGTGTGTGTGTGTGTGTGTGTGTGTGTGTTGTATGGGCACACAGATGCCATGGCATGGGTGTGGAAGTTGGAGAACAACTTTCAGGAGTTGGTTCTCTCAGGTTGTCAGGTTTGGTGTTATCTGCTGAACCTTCTTGTCCCTAATAGGCCCTCAATAAATAGCTATAATTTAACATTTTAAATTCTAAGACATCATTTCCTCCCACATTTTAATGTCACTGAAACCCTCATGTACCATAGTATCAATGACATACCATTGTTTAATTTACAGAATTTTATTAGCCACATATAAATCAAGTTTGTCTTACAACTGATGGCTACTTAGATTCAATGAAGTGTAGTATTCACTATTTAGATCATTCTGTTACTTTTCTTTACTGATTCTCTATCCCTGACAATCTTCTCATAA